ATCCGCCAACTGTAACTCGAAAGGCACATACTGAAGAGGAATAACCTAATCCTGCACAGCAGCACGCACAAAAGAAGCATTAACACCAATATGCTTGGGGAGCTCATGCTTCACCTGCACTGTTTGACGGGAGGGGAGTGGGTGTAGTGACAGAAACACCAAACTCCCGAAGTAAGTAACCATCATAACCAAGTCATAACGCAGCCTCCGCACTCAAATGGGAAACTGCAGTCTGTTTCTTCATCTTCTACGCGATGAGAGAACCAACAAGAAAATAAGAAGAAAGTGAACGGCTATCTGAGGGACCACTAGCCCACGAAGCATCTGAATAGGTCTGAAGCTGTAAAGAACTGGAGCAGGAAAAGAAAAGACGTTGAAAGATCGTGCCACGAAGATATCGTAGAACACGAAGGTGACTACAGTGAACCGAAGTGGGAGCAGAAACAAACTGGCTCAAAATGCCCATGACGCGTCGGATCAGACAAGGGACCATCAGAAGCACGGAGTTGAACATTGAGCTCCATGAGTGTCAACAGTGCACTTATCAGTAAGAGCAACACGAGCAAGAAGATCCTAAATATATTTCTCTTGGGAAATAAAGAAGGTATCAGAGGTAGAGGAAACCTCAATCCCAAGAAAATAGCAAAGAGAGCCAAGATCAAACATAAGAGACTGCTCACTAAGACATGCCTTAACAAAGGCATGTCTTAACAAAGGCATGCTCACTAAGACTGCTCACTAAGACATGCCTTAACAAAGGCATGTACTCATGGTTGTCACCGGTGATGATCATGTCATCAACATATAGAAGAAGAGTTGACCGAGTCGGCCCAATCTGTGGAGGGTGACAAAGCATCCCAATCTCCGAAGAGCGTTGACCGGGGCGGCCAGATCTCTGGAGGGGACGAAGCAGCCCAATCAGGAGGCAACGCTGACCGGGTTAGAGAAGTAGTGGGCTGACAGAGGAAAAGGGCAGCTGCAGTCGGCCGAAGAGCGGCAGCGATGCAAGATGGGAAGCAGCAACCGACCAAAGAGGGGAGAGCAGCGGCTCGACAACCACGTGATTAGGCAGTCACTTTATGGTTTTGATCAATTGGGGTTGCACAGTCGACAACCCAACATGCCAACTGTTAAGCTTCATGCACTAGCCAACGCAACCAAAACTCCGAACTGATGGAAAGGGCTAGACAATCCACATATACACTTCAACACCCCCCCTCACATGTGACGCGGAAAGTCAACACATGGATAGACTCAGAGGTATGGCTCAAGAGGCCTATACGTGGACAATGGGGGGCGACAACAATTTTTGGATAAATTGCTAAAGCCATGACTTGAACTCAAGACATTAGCTCTGATATGGCTAGGCAATCCACATATGCACTTCAACACCCCCTCTCACATGTGATGCGGGAATTTAACACATGAATAGACTCAGAGGTATGGCTCAGAGGGGGGCAGCAACAATTTTTAAATAAACTATGAAAAACAGGACTTGAACTCAAGACCTTAGGCTCTGATACCATGTTAAGCTTCATGCACTAGCCAACGCAACCAAAAGTCCGAACTGATGAAAAGGGCTAGGCAATCCACATATACATTTCAACACCCCTCTCGCGTGTGACACGGGAATTCAACACATGAATAGACTCAAAGGTATGGCTCAAGAGGCCTATACGTGGACAGGAAGGGGGGAGCAACAATTTTTAAATAAACTGCGAAAGCCAGGACTTGAACTCAAGACCTTAGGCTCTGATACCATGTTAAGCTTCATGCACTAGCCAACACAACGAAAAGTCTGAACTGATGGAAAGGGTTAGACAATACTTCAACACCAACATCATAGAGGAGGTCAGGGTATACTTTCTTTGAGAAATAGTTATTCCTTTCCAGACTTGACCACTTCTATACCAAGGAAGTACTTGAGTCGACCAAGATCTTTAACTTCAAAGGTCTTACTCAGACACCCATTTAACCTTGCTATCTCTCCGTCAACATCACTGGTGATAATGATATCATCAAGATAAACTGCAAGGATGTTTATTTTCCCTTTAGAGTTTCTATAAACTATGTATGATCACCATTGCATTGTCCATACCCCATGTCACACACCGCCCGTCTAAACTTGTCAAACCAAGCTCTTGGAGACTGCTTCAGTCCGCAATGGGCTTTCTTCGGCCTGCATACCTCGCCAACAGTCTCGGAAGTCGAGAACTCACGTGGAATCTCCATGTATGCCTCCTCTTGCAAGTCCCCATGCAAGAAGACACTCTTCACATCAAGTTGGTGTAAAGGTCAGCCAAAATTTGCTGCACATGAGATCAGAACCCTCCCAGTGTTCATCTTTGCTACTGGAGCAAAGGTCTCATAGTAGTCAATGTCGTATGTATGGCTATCCCCACCCCCCCCCACCCCCGGTCGCCGCCACAAGCTTTTCTTTGTACCTTTCAACCTTTCCTTCTGCATTTTGCTTCACAGTGTATACCTACTTGCAGTTGACTGCCTTCTTTCCTTTTGGAAGGGGTGTCAGTACCCATGTCTTATTCTTACGCAGAGCCTCCAGCTCTGCCGCCCGCCACTTTGAGTCCTCTTTGAGTCCTCCTTGCCTTCTTCTAGTCAATCGGAATTGACACAGACTGAAGAGAAACAATAAATGCTTTGTGGGCTGGAGATAATGCTTCATGGGAGACGTAATTTGCAATATCATCGTCATCGAATCCATACCGTTTCTCCGGTATCCCTGCTGTTGCTCGAGTTCTCCTCAAAGCAATTTTCCCCTTTAATTGATCCTTTAGCCCAATCCCCATCAGAGGAGATGGAGATCACATCATTATTACCCTATTGTTCCATCAGTGGTTGATCTAGTTGCTCCCCTTGATGTGCAACACCATCATCTCGCTTCCGTGAATACACCTTTAGCTACTCCTCTTGCTCTGCTGTCCACCTTGGCACACTACCAATCTGAGCTGGTGCACGGTTCCGTGAATACACCTTTAGCTCTCCTCTTGCTCTCTTGCCCACCTCGGCACACTACCAGTCTGAGTCTGTGTGCCAACCTGCACATCATCAGTGGAAGCTGGTGCTTGCATCGCAGGAGCCACATGAGTTACTAAAGGTGATTGTTGCATCTCCATTTGTGTGTACTACTCTCCCCTCTTGACCAATCTCCGGAGGAGACATTGGTCAAGTTCTTCAAACAAGACACTGAGATAAGTTTTCTCACCATAAAGGGTTCCGATTCACGGAACGTAACATCCATGCTCACAAATGTCCGTCTCTCAGACGAACTCCGGCATTTGTACCTCTTTGTCCTGAAGAATACCCAATAACAAAACAAGTGCAACAAAACACCTTGGGGAGAACTGGGAATTTATTTTCTGTGAAAACCAACTCACACGGTGATTTCATACCCGTCACCCGGGATGGCATGCGGTTGATGAAGAAGGTGGCCATCATGACAGCTCCACTCCACGGGATCTTGGGCATATTCAGGATGAACATCAATACTCATTTGCAGTTTCAGATTCAGTCGCAATCACTCTATTGACAAGAGACTCCATCTCGTCTTCTCCTAGCTGTGCCACCTGTTCATGGTGTAATTTGGCTAGTAGCCTGTTGATGGGTCATTAATTAATAGTCATTCAAGCTAATCAGTTACTATTTTTTGTAAAGATTGCAACAAGAATTTTCATGGACAAGAGGATACTTTGGACATGCCCTAGCCATACTCACAGTATTTCAGAGTTACCACGATGCTACCTAGGACAAGTCCTAACAAGGATCAGAGGTCAAAGCTGAAGATTGCAATGCTACGGGTGGAGTTACATAAGGGAAAATGCAACATGCAGAAATACGCGTGAAGAGTGGAGAAATATCATTCATACGTGATCACCATTATGTGTTGTGATTAGCGACGTGGCCAGAATATTTTATTCATAAAAGGCAAGGCGATGAGTACTTATATATGTGAATATGGCCAAGAGGGGTTGCCATGCAGGTTAGCTATGCGTGTTAGCTGTCCGATTAAAAACGTAAAGTGCTATATATGGTAATCGTGCTATACATGGTAATCCAATTAAGATGGCCAGATTCTAGTCGGTTTAGCTTTGGAATCGTTTTTGTATACGCCAAGTCCAGCGTGCCAATATAAATGTAAGGCCGTGGCCGATTGAAAAAACACCAATTGATCTATTCACAAAATACATATTACCTTTTCACGTTCGTTTCTTTCTGTCGTTCTTCCTGCCGAGCCCTGGCAGCCCTAGGGTTTGGTTGATCTTTGCCGTTTTGCATTGAAAAGCGGTCGTCTCTCCTCTAACAAAGCGAGGAGATCTTTGTTGCTTTGCTTGTAAAGCAATCGTTCGTCGCCACGAAAGCACGACGGTTATCGTGGTGTCGCTCTGCAATTTTGTGTGGCAACACCACTAGTGCTGCCTCCTCTGCAATCAGCAACCACAACAACAAAGCTACACCACCACCAGGATCACTCACTTCAGCTACTCACTTAGCTGTGAGAGCCTCTGCTACATGCACCAGCACCAAGCCAGCAGCAGCAGAATCAGCAGCAGCTCTCAGTAGCAGTCACTGCCACCTTCAGGACCACAGCCCCTACCGGATAGTCTGCTCGCAATCTGGTCACTCAAACCCTTCTTCTCCAATCAGCATGCATGCAGAAGCAAATCAGCAGCAGCACAGCACTGCATTTTCTTCCTTCTCACCACAAACAGCAAGCAGCAGCGGCAGCTCCTCCTTCTCCTCTCCAATCACCTTCTTCTCTTCTCAGCAGCAGCCGCAGCTCCTCCTTCTCCTTCCCTCAGCAGCCGCCGCAGCTCCTCCTTCTCCTCTCCTCATCCAAGCTCGCCGCCTCCAGCTCCACCTCCTCGCCGAACCGAGGCAGCCGCCGTTGCCCGCACAGCCAGCGCATAGCCGCACGCACAACGCGCACACACACAGAAGCCACGCCCAGATGTGCCGCCTCCTCGCTGGCTCTGCTAGCTCCAGTGCCCCGACCTGGTCTGATACCATGTTGACAAGAGAGAGATACGTACCCCAGTGGCTGCTGGTTCGTGTGTGTTGCGGGCGCAACTGACCAGACATGGTCTGCCTCCTCTTCTAGATCACTGGAGCGGGCCTGGGTCTTATGGGCCAGGCTGAACATGGGCTCACATACAACAGTCATCCTCTCAGGACCAGTACCTAGAATAGGCTTAACAGACTCCACCCCTCACCCACATACGAATAAATTACAAAAAACCAACACAATTGAGCAAAAGTCATCAAACACCCACCAAAATGCATGTTTTCTGGTGGTTTTTTCCTGAAGCATTGATAACTTTGACCCAATTGTGGTGGTTTTTTGCAATTTACTCCCCACATACCCATGTCACTGTTGCACGTGACAGATATAGCTATTAAGTTTCATGCACCAACCAGTAGAACAAAAAGTGTGAACTGATGGAGAAGGTTGGGCAATCCACATATACTTCAACAACAAAGAGAAGGCAAGCAAATTTTTATTAAATTGCGAAAGCCGAGACTTGAGCGCAAGACCTCTTGGCTCTAATACCATATTAAGTTTCATGCACCAACCAGTAGAACCAAAAGTCCGAACTGATGGAGAAGGTTGGGCAATCCACATATACTTCAACAATAGCAATTGTGGCAGGAAAGGAAGATGAAAAGCAGTAGAAGTAAAGGAAGCCTGGCATGCCTATCAGATAAAAGTTCTGGACAAGGGTAATTTAGACACAACACCATAAAACACCGCTGTCTTGCTCTCCAGCACCAATATGGCATAACAGATGCTAATTTAGTTATCTATTTATTTCCCCCGAGAAAACACAACAAGCATTATGCCTTGTTGTACTGATAGAGCTGGAAAAGTGTTATTTACGAGTCTGCAGTAGGCTACAGCCAAGTGAACAAAAAGAGCCCTAAGTCTAACCATTGGGCAGGACGGTGTGACCCAAGGGTTTGCCTCCTCGATCGTGTCTAGGAGGTCGAGTATGGATGGGGTATCATTGAGGAAAAGACATGTTTCCTTCGGTTCCAAATCCATGATGGAGCTTGTCCCGTGCCTCAGCGCAGAGGGAGTGGCCACAACCATTGTTCTCAACAAGTCAGCGAATTCTTCGCCTCCCGCCGGAGATGCCGCTGTTGCCGTAGATCTTATCCATGACAGCGCCTTGAACCAAACTAGATGCCAAAAGACGCAGTCGATCATGTCTAGGAGGTCGAGTATGGCTGGGGTATCATTGAGGAAAAGATATGTTTCCTTCGGTTCCAAATCCATGATGGAGCTTGTCCCGTGCCTCAGCGCAGAGGGAGTGACCACAACCATTGTTCTCAACAAGTCAGCGAATTCTTTGCCGCCCGCCGGAGATGGCGCTGTTGCCGTAGATCTTATCCATGACAGCGCCTTGAACCAAACTAGATGCCAGAAGACGCAGTCGACAAGCAGGTGGGTTCATTTACTCGTGGTTTTTGAAGGGAAACTGCAAGGGAAGCCCCCAACAGTATAAATAGGAACACAAATTCATGTCCATGAGGACTTGAACCCAGAAGTAGGATTGCATTCACTCCCCCGACCAAGTGAGCTAGGCTCACGTCCTTATAGTCTCAGTGGTTTGTATCCCCTCATCCCTTTCTGTGCAAATTGACCATTATATGTTTGTATCATCAAATGCAACTACAATTTCAGTTTACACTTCAGTTTTCTAGTAGTCATATTAAAGAAGTCAATTATGTAGCATTTGGGCACTAACCATAAAGAAAGAAAAACTATGTGCTAACGCTGCCAAGCACTAAGCAGAATTTATTAGATTTAGAGTAAAATAAACATTTACCGTGCTGTCACTTCATATGGTTCTCTAGGTGTTTCCCACCCCTTGCCTTCATCAACTATCTGCCACATCCAAAGGGCAATGATAAGTTTGCCACAATGCTGAAGCATCTGCTCTCATTTACTTGACATCTTATTGTATAACCAACAAAAAAAGTCTAACATGGGAGTAAAGGATGCCGATAACATTTGGGGAATCCCAAACTGAATATATGAATCCTTTTACTATGCTAACTTTGGAAAGCACAAAAAATATCAAACAGGTGCTCCAAACATAAATAAAATAAAGTATTTAAAAATCCCAACTGGATAAAACTGAATATATTTTATGCTATCAATATAGAATGTCTGTTTACCTTCTTTACAACCCCTAAATCCTCAGTCACGACCTGAAAGAGAGAGAAAACTAGAGTCAATAACCGAATCGAATGTGGCAAATAATATTATTATGTGTCTGATTGGTATTCTCTGTGACAAGAGAGTGCCACAAAAGCTTAAAAGGCAAGTTCGACAGGACGGCGGGTCGACCCGTAATGTTGTATGGCGCTGAGTGTTGGCCGACTAAAAGGCGACATGTTCAACAGCTAGGTGTGGCGGAGATGCGTATGTTGAGATGGATGTGTGGCCACACGAGGAAGGATCGAGTCCGGGATGATGATATGGGATGATGATATACGAGATAGAGTTGGGGTGGCACCAATCGAAGAGAAGCTTGTCCAACATCGTCTGAGATGGTTTGGGCATATTCAGTGCAGGCCTCCGGGAGCTCCAGTGCATAGCGGACGGCTAAAGCGTGCGGAGAATTTCAAGAGAGGTCGGGGTAGACCGAAGTTGACATGGGTGGAGTCTGTTAAGAGAGACCTGAAGGATTGGAGTATCACCAAAGAACTAGCTATGGACAGGGCTGCGTAGAAGCTTGCTATCCATGTGACAGAGCCATGAGTTGGTCGCGAGATCTGATGGGTTTCACCTCTAGCCTACCCCAACTTGTTTGGGACTAAAGGCTTTGTTGTTGTTGTTGATGTGACTGATTGGTACTAGGCATTGCAGTGAGTACAAAGTCATGGAGTCAGGAAATCAACTACCTGGGGCATAGTTTTAAAAACCCGACCGGACCAGCGGTCTGATCAGAAAAATCAGAACCGGAGCCTTGTCCGTTTTTTATGACGCATTGGTCTTTTAGTAAAAAAAAACAGGGAAATATTAAGAAAATGGTGCATAAACTAGGGATCAAACCCTTGACCTTGAGCCATGGCACTCTAAAGGCCGAATAACCAACTGGGCTAGCAACACTTTGTGATTTATTAATGGATTACATCAAATATTATGTCTACCCATTTGATCTGGGGTCATTTTTTCTGAAAAATTAGCTTAAATATTGCTGTTTTTGGTTGTCAATTAACCAATGAGCTGGTGGTCTGACCGTTGAAAATCTGAATCGACAGTCTCACCGGTTCGGTTTTTAAACCATGACCGGGGGTTAGAAGGAGAGAAAAATAATTAGGGCATCGACTTGGCGAATGGAGCTTATATGAACCATATGTTTATCTGACCAACATGCTTACTTGCGTGTTGCACTTAACTTGATAGTTCCCATAGGGGATGCCATGTCATGATCGATATCATTCACCTAATCATGAAAGATAGAAATACAAATCTCTATCGTTCACACAGTTTATTATGCTGTATACTGATACATTACACATATGGTGATGTTGTAGTTCTTCGTGAGATATATTGGCCCAACATCCTAGATGGTAACAGAAATAATCGGTAACCATGAAAGCCATCATTATGGTGTGGGGCAAGCATCGTGTGCAACAGTAGCAATGATGTGCACGGCAACAGCAGAAGGATGCATGCAGGGCGAACAACTCTTTTAGGTGGCTATTATGTTGCGAACAGAGTCTTAATTAACATAAATTGCATAACTCTTCAGACTCATATCATGCTGAAATTGATCGATTTAGAAGTACAAAAGGAAATTAATGGCTGAAAATATATCAGAACCATTGTACCATCATGATTCCGAAATATATACAACGTATCATGCTCCAATCATAACAAGACTAACCTTGGCTTCAAAGAAATCCAACATCTCAACCTCAAACTGAAGCTCATCATCTTTTGGGAAGCCATCTGGAGGTGTAACCGGGCAATCATCCTCTGCATAGTGTATTTTCGGCTCCATTTTAAACTGAAAAGATAGATTGTGACCACG